TGGCGGTGGTTGGCGGTGGCGGTGGCGGTGGCGGTGGCGGTGGCGGTGGCGGTGGCGGTGGCGGTGGCGGTGGCGGTGGCGATGGCGGTCGCAGTCTCGGTCGCGGTCGCGGTAGCTGTAGCAGCAGCAGCAGCAGCAGCAGCAGCAGCAGGAGTAGTAGTAGTAGTAGTAGTTGTTGTTGTTGTTGTTGTAGCAGCAGTAGTAGGGCTGGTATTGGTCCCAGTGGCACAAACAGTTCTCGTCTTTGTTGTTATCAAACAGACACGTGGAGTCAAGACGTAAAGATGAGTAATGACGGAAAATGGTGGGGCAGAAAGGGCGATTGGCCTCAAGCGAAAAGAAGCCAAGCATCACGACGGCAAAAACACAGGAGTAGCCTCAGCGTGATAGACTATTAGGAATAGTATGCCTAATGGCAACATGACAGGGACTAAATATGCAACCTACCTCTACAAACAGGTTTCATGGGAGCTTGACAAAATTACCCCTTAATAAGCGCCCCCGTTGTCCCTCTGCAGTCATACATCCTAAGTGAATCTGGTGGTCCCTAAGTGCCTGGAGACCTCCATATTCTGAGAAACCTCTAAACCCTAAACCTCTGAATCCCAAAACCCCTAAACCCCATGAACCCCTAAACCCCATAAACGCCTGAAACCCTAAATCCTAAACCGCAGACCCAGACGCTGGTTTGCTCAGCCCGTCCTGCGCAAGCAACTTGTGGGCTTCGGAGGTGGGGGGGGCGCTTTGTGATCCAGAGGGTTGAAAAATGTCGCATAGCTCAATGGTTGTTAGTAGGGAATAAGATAAGGGAATATGATCCCTATATAACTCCAATGTAATACATCCCCTTATTCCCTATGCACCACAGGTAAGATAAGAACTTGCCGCTGGGGCAGGATTTGCCTGTCCGCATGGCCGCGTGCCCTGGCCCTAAACGACGTTCACTACAAGTCACTACAGGTTCTCGACCAGCCGCGGTAAGATTTCTATCCAATGCAGTTGTGATCTATGGCAGCAGCTACAATGCTACAAGGTAGCTTATAAATGGTCTGTACATAAATGGGAACAGGTCTGAGAAGTGTTTTTTTGGTAGTTGAGCCTAGTAAGATTATATTCCTTATATGAAATACTATACCCCAAAAGGAGGACATAATCTTACTCTGTAATGGGCACCATAGTATCCCCAAATAAAATACTACTCAAAAGACACACCATCCGTCCTGAGCCTTCTTGACTGACGCCTTGGCTGCCGAATAAGAAGCCGGCTAGCCAAGCAAGAAAAGGCATGTGAGTAGCGTTTTTTTGGGTGGTTAAACCCAATGATTTTATTTTCCTTATATAAAATACTATACCCCAAAAGGAGGACATAATCTTACTCTATAAAATATGGGGTACCATAGTATCCCCAAAAAAAATACTACTCATGTGGGACTTGGGGAAATTGATGTAGGGACCCGTATTTTAACAGGAACACCAGTATAGGGATCCGTATTATAGTGAATCCAAGGAAATCCCCATTTCTCAAACTTGGGGTTCGCTTAGAAGGGGCGCTGAGGATCATAGAGGCTTCAGAGGAGCTGTTCAGATTCTACATCTTAGGTCCTGTATGTACACCCCCATAACTACGGCCTCAATTACTGCAAGATCCACAGAAGCTGTCAGCTAAAGGAAGAGGCCAACAACCAACCACAGGCTGAACAAAAAATGCAACTGGCAGCAGTATGTAGTTGCAGGTGTGTAGACAAACCCTGTGGCGTTCTTCTCTACAAGCTCAAGTGATGCCAGTTTTGTCCACAAGGCCCCACCTCAACTCCTTCCTGAAATGGTGGTCCCTAAACTTAAGCCCTAAACCATGACTATTCTGAAGACCTCCCTGCTGCCACCTGACTTAGTTACCATTTGGTAACAGGAGCTTCCAGAATTAAGGGTCCCCTTGATGTGAGCCTTGTTTCAGGACTCCGTAGAGGCCGTAGAACAAACAATAGGCCCTGTTTTCACTGCTGCCCAGTTAGCCAGCATGCCTGGATTGTTCCTTTCCCCCTGACTTTGCTGTTGGTTATTGGGGAAGGAAGGAAAAGGAACGGAAATTAACGAAACTCACGTGTTCTTGGCGTTCATACGGGGACTACTGTAGGGATCCATTCCTCTACTTTGTTCCCTACTGGCTAACAGTAAGCGAAAGTATCCTCTGCAAATCCAATGTTGAGCTTTGGGAACAGAGACCTTGCTGGCTTACACATTGCTGACGTCATCCTCTAAAAATTGCCCAGCACGCGGTACAGGAAAAGATGCGGTTTTCCAAAGGGCATCTTGCCTTCAAACCGGAAACCGTCGAACTAAGCAGGCCATAATCCCGATGTATGCCCTATTTCATTTACAGAGGTCCTTTTCCATTATCGCCATCTACCCCTACCCTACTTTTGGGCAACCCCTAATTATCCGAATTACCATAAAGCCAGCTTCAATTTCTGATGCATTGCACGCTAGCCGCCACAAAATTGTTCTCCACCAGCTTTACCCGCAGAGATGTCGGTCCAACCCCGTATTCTTCCTAATCATCGGCTTCGAACATACAGATAACATTGGAAAAAGTTGAGCTGGTCCTCTTCCCCCAACCCTAAATCCTTTTCCCCTTCACCCTGAGCCCTGTAGACTTCCGCACCCACCACACGCAGCTCGGCGACCAGGCTTTTGAGCCAGTCTAGGAGATCGGACTCCAGTTTTTGCAGCACGTCTGGGGCAAAGTCGCCACTGTCCAGAGTGGTGTTTGCCTCCTGTGCCAAAACTTACTGATTCTTGCAGGGAATAGGAGAATATAATCCCTGCATAACCCCCATATACTGTATTGCCTTATCCCCGAATTACTAAGAACTATTAACAGAAGGTATCTCAACATCTGGGCAGGGCGGTCAGGGACTGCAGTCTTCGGAAAAAATTGCTGATAGTGTTCCGCAGGCCCTGATGCAATGAGCGTGAGAGAATTGGCTTTCACGCAAGCATAAATATCGTGCGAGCTATTCAAGATTTGGTAGACTTCGGTTGTTCACAATAGGTACGTGGCGGACACTTTGCTTATTACCGAATGCTTCAGCAAAGCTGATGGCCAATCAGCAATGCCCAAAGAAATAGAACACAAAGTTGCTTCCAGGGTGGGTATATATGGCAATTTTTGTTAAAGGGTTCGTAGTGGCGCCTGTAAGCAACAGATGGGGAAATCACCAAGACTGGAGGCTTAGGATCACTCTGCCGCCTGAGTGGTCCAGCAAGGGTCAGATACACCTTTCCGGCAAGGATTGACTTTTAGCGGCTGTAAAGGCCATTCCTTCTTGTCGCCAGGTTCCAGGATGCCCAGCAGAGAGGGATGAAGAGTGGATCAACCATTCTGGTTCAATCTCGTTTCCATCTGCTTGTTTCCTGAAACAGGGTAGACCCCACAGACTATAATCCTCATGCCCGCACAAATGCTGAAAGCACAATGTAGCCCTAAACGCAACTTAAGCTCCAAGGCTCTAAGCTCTAAAATGCAGAAGCCCACCTGTATGCCGGTCTCCACTGACTCCAGTCTCCCCGACAACTCTGCAAGAATGGCGCTATCAATAGGAGGCGGATCCTGATCTCTAAAGTTCAGGGCTTAAAGTTGGGGCTTAATGCCAACTCTTAATGCGAGTTTTGGTGGTTGGTGCTTGGAGTTACGGTTTAGGGGCATGTGTGAAAGCCTAAGGTCTAAGGGTTTAGGGCCTAGGGTTTCGGGCTCAGATTGTTTCAGATGGCGCCTCGCAAGGCAAGTCTGCACTGTTTTGGTGTGAAAGATGTTTGGGTCAAGGTTTTGAGTTCGAAGCGGCTTAAGGAGACCCTGAACTTGGACCCTGCCAGCTAGTCGGGTGTGATGTTGGACTACCCAGTAACATGGGGATTAAACGAGGCCGCTCTTTTGGGGGTCCCGATCCCTCACAAGCTCATCTAAACCTAGTTGTAAACGATTTCAGATATGCGATAGACCAACCACAACGGACCCAGAAATGCATCCGCTCTACTCACGCAGGAAATTTTGCAAAATGCGAGGTGAAGGGGACTGCATGTTTCCTTTATCAACAGTAGCTGGGCAAATGCACGACCAAAACGGTGCCACGGCGCCGGTACTCTGAGTGGCTTCAACTCAGCCTCCACAGAAAAAGGGGGTTGTTTTGGGCGTAGTTTGGAGTGGTTTCGCCTTGCAGCTTACTGTATGTGGCCTGAGGTAGCCAAGGCCATGTCACAGGTCTGTTTTTCAAGCATGCCTGGGGCAGGGTTGGGCTGACCTTGCCATATGTGTTAGAGGGTTTGGCTTGGACTTTAGGATTTGGAGTTGAGGGATATAGGCCCTTGTCGAAGATCCACTTGGGGTCGTATTTTGGAGTAAATTGGGATGCTTTGCAGACTCCGGGTGGCTTTCTGCTGCGGGTGACTTTGAGAAACTCTCCCAACGGGTAGGTCGCATTGAAAGTGCGGTTGGTGCGTTGCATGCTTATGTAAAATGAGTTAAGTTTCCGGTCTCAAAGTGTCAGAGGTTAGGGTTAAGGATGGAAGCAAGGCTTGTAGTAGGCACCCTGCGGCAGTATGTAAGGTCATTGCTTTCGGCTTCTAGGCATTACCAGGGTGCTAGAGCTTAAAGGGCTGTACGTAGCTTCACAAGCAAGATGGACAAGAAGTTCAACCTTAGGATGGCGGAGGATTTCCGCTCGGGATTGCCTAGAGGTTGTTGGCCATTACCTAGAGCATCATACAAGAAAAATCCTGGCATTCTGCTGGGCTTCACAGCAAAGGACTCTAGATCGTCAGTCTCTGAAGCACACGTCCCGAATTTAGCTCCATGGGACTCCAATGCAGGGGGGATCTGAATTACTTGTGTGAAATACTCACTTGTGCGCGGAGATGGCGCCTCGAGCCTTTGCAGCTTCTTCTGCAGCTTGGCATACTCCGCCGCTGCCGAGTTCCTGTTACTGAAGCTGTGTTTGGGGTTTAGATTAAAGGTTTATAGTCCCCCTTAAGTAGCTATAATATGGCTTTGGGTATGTTATAATAAGATCCCCCTATAACCCATATTCTATCTACTTAAGGGGGGCTGTAAGGTTTCGGGCTTACCCCCAGTAGCTTCGACCTACTCCTAGAGACAATGGAGCTCCTGAGGGGTGAGACTCAGAAATAAAGATGCCAAAAGTGAAGTGCTACTGCGTTACATTCACTTCCCTCCAACTACACCAAAACCACAAAGCACTGGCTCTTGGGAGTCTCTTGCACTAAGTCCCAAATGTTCTTGCAAGGATTGCAAGATCAACAAATAACCTAGGCCCAAAATGGTCTCTTGGTCTCAGAAACTTTCACTTGAGCTTCAAAGTGGACGGTTCTGGGATTTAGCCAATGGCCAAGTTCAAGCAAAAACGTCCTACCGAAGGGACCCTGGGGGTATTCAGATGCGTGTGCCCGCCCGTATATACATAGTCCATAGCCCTGGGAGGAGTATACAACGGTTCTACGGTGCTTTTGGTGTTGAGGGCCGTAAGACTGTACCTTCAGGGGCTCGAAGGTTACTGTGGCATGGTTGCACGGTCCCTTCATGGGCCTGATGCATGTACTGGTGCAGCCTGCATCTGGAGCACGGGTAAGGGCCTGTACCTATCTGACGAACCAGATTTTCTTCGATATAGCATGAGCCCAGGACCCAACTCAACCTTCCAAAGGACAGGGCTTTAATACTTTATGATCCCTTTAGGTGTAACTGATGGGCAGACCAGAACCTTGCCACGGCCCCATTGCAGTTCTCTACATTCTGCAGATAGAACACATAACCTCCTCGCACCTGCTGGGGACTCCTGCGCTAGGCTTAAGGCCTAAAGTGATCGAGCAAACCACCGACCCACGGTTTAGGGTTGAGGGTCCAGAGACATACAAGACATGACATTTGCATATACAACGCTCATCACGTTGCTACCGATGGCCCCCTTTTGCAGTCCAGTTGCCGAATTCGAGGCGCAAATTTTCTCGCCGCCGCTACATGCCTCAAGGGGTTAGGCTTCGTGCTAAGAATACATGAGTCCTAGCAGTTGAATGTAGCTTTGCTACACCTAAGCACTGTGAAGCTCACAAACTTGACAACCTAAAACTTGATAGCAATGAGATGTTCACTTTAGGCCATTGCCACTAACATGACTGTCACCACAATGAGTAATTACGAGTTATAATCGGCCTTTTCAAAAACCCCTTTAAGGACAGTTACTGTAAGGGGGAATGACCCAATGTTCACTTGAGTCATGTTTTTTTGGTGGTTGAGCCTAGTAAGATGATATGCCTTATATAAAGTACTATACCCAAAAGGTGGATATAATCTTACTCTATGTCGGGTACCACAGTATCCCCAAATAAACTACTACTCACTTTAGGTGTCCCAAAATCCACTGCTTTGGTCGCAAGAGAGCCCTAAGGTCAAACGCATAAGCATGTGTTGAATCTGAGAACCTAAGTATTTGGAGTGTGAGGCTTCATGTACATAGTGCAGCATAGCTTGAGGTGCTATAATGTCTCATGTCCTTGAAGTTATTTGCGGAAAAATACACTGCATACAGTAGCTGTATGTAACTTACAAAAAAAATATTGTTTGCCTTCCAGGGGGTCTCCGTAGCATCGCCAGCCAGACTTCTTGCTAGAACACCGTAGGCAATGCCGCCTGCATTTGTTAGGATTCTAAGCCTAAGCTCCACCCTGAAACCTAAAGCCCCCAAACCCCAAACCCTATGAAGCCTGAACCCCAAAATTCTTTTGCATCCTGCATCCAGCTTGCAGCGAGGGCAGGGAAAGCATGCTCTACACACATCACGTTAAGCTCTAAGCACTACACTCACACACCAAGTCTCTCCCCAAGAAATCTGCAACCAGCCTTGCCGTCACGGCCCTGGCCGCCTTTAAGGCTCGCTCTGCCTGCTCCTAAGATCCACGTTGCAGGTTGTTAGAAGTATACCCCAGCACAATTCTGACAAGCTTCCACATGGTGTGAGGCTTGTACAGGGTATGGAGTTTGGGATTTGACGCCTAGGGTTGGGAACTAAGGCTTATGATTTATAGACTTAATTTTGAGGGCTAAAGATTTGGCATCTAATTCGGGCTTCGCGCTTGGGGTTTAGAGCTTGGGGTTGAAGGCGTTGGGTCTTCGAGTTCGCCTTTTTTTTTGGAGGCAGGATTCCCAGAGCAGGGATACCCCCAGGCAATCTAGGGGTCATTAGAGAGTTATCCGGTGCCCCTGAAGCCTGTCTTGTAGCACCTGAGGGGCTGACTTTCCCAGCATATGGGGCTGCAGGATTTATGGCTTCAGCACTTGCATAGCCGTAACGCGAAGCAAAGTCCACAGGCCAAGCGGTTCAGGATAAACTCTAGAGGTAAGTTTCAAAGTGCCCAAGCCCCAAAACGTGACCATGCTCGACTCAACAGCCTTTGACAGCTTGACAGCATAGCCGTGCAAGCTATTGCTTGGAAGCCGACACTCCAACTGCGGGCGCATGTGTTTGCTTGATTGCATTCTAACTACGCGTATCAGGCGTATCAGCTATACAAGGGTCACGTGCTACACAAACATATACAACCCTTAAGAGTAAACAAAAAAATTACCATGCTGCTGAAGATCCCTGATCAGCCCCCTTCCGCCAAGCCCGCAATCCCGATCCTTCACCCTAAGATCCTCTCCCCTAATTTCCCTCATAACGAAATCCCGAACACGCTATTCATGAGTATTCCTTATATGATACAACCACTGTATATTCTTGAGAGGTGTCTACCTCAAAGTTATCGTGCGAAATAAATGTTTCAGGCCTGGGTATGGGAGGACTGACTGTGAAGATCCTGTTTGGATAACGAATAACACTTCCCACATGCAACCAACCATCTCTACTGCCTACGTGACATGCAAATTTACCAAACCGCTTCGCCCTCAATGCCTAGAAATCCTGACTTGTAGGCCTTCAACCAACCACGCTTCATGCCTTAATCCAGTAAAGGGCCTGGGTTTGGGACGACACATGAATTGAGGGACTACATTAGAAACTCGTAGCATAGGAACAGACTCTGCGGAACCTCACAACCCCCTTCTCAAATAGGAGACCCAATCTGGTCGTTCCTCCATACTGCGAGCACTTCAGTTTCCACCTCATTCTCTGTACTGCAAGAACCCTGAACAAGGCCAAGGACTACGAACCGCCTACTCCAAACCCCACAAGTGTGTTCAGCACTACGGAGACATCCAGGCTCTGCGAGTTCATCCAGGCTTGAGGTCTGCGTGCCCGCCTCTAGGGGCCATACATGGATGGGGGAATAGTGTGTGGGAGGGGGGGCATTTAGGGTTTAAGGCTTCGAGGAAGACACCCACTCAGATGTTCCAACCAAGATGCTGTCATACTGATTCTAACTTGGATTCCCGCACATAGCGCGCAACGAGCTATCTGACAAAGCATGCAGCTCCAACTAAAGCCAAGTAACGCTAGTTGTAAAAAAATCAGAAGAGGATCTAAGGATATATGAGCCCGCTCCCCCAAACACTAACTACCCAACCCCACCTCCCCGATGAAAAAGGATTCTCTCCAAAATGTGAGAGTACTGTAGGAACTATACATAACTATACAGAGGCACTTCAGAAATGGAAGGTGAAGACTGTGCATGAGTTTAGACCCTGAGAGGCCAGAGCCTGGGGTGGGTCCCGGGTTTGAGCTGTTACGCATAAGCGGAAATCGACCAAAAGACTCACCGTCTGCCATTTCATACGGGTTGTAAATCTAGTCTACACTGTCATAAAACGCGAACCCTAAACCCTAAACCCTAAAACCTTCTTCACAAATGCTCCATTGACCTGTCAGTACCCCAAGCACAGAGCCCAGGAGCCTTGTCGAGCGACAGCACTGACTGCAGCTCCTCCTCCGCTGCACGAATGCTCCCATTTGCCTCAGACCTCACCATGGAATGCTGGCAGGCCGCGGCAAGTTCAAGGGGAATGGTGTCTCAACCATCTACATCTACCCCCTTTATCCTACCGAGGCACGCATGTGCATACACTCAGGCTTCCGAACTCGATCTTCCAGCGGAGTCAAACACGAAACCACGTCCACGCTGACTCGTCAGTCGGCTAACACATTCAGCGATGGGCGTGGTGCCTCCTACGATGTATGGCTGCAAGATGGCTGATCTATACCCTGACTTGGCCTGCACGCCGGTCGCATTCCCCCCTGACTTTTGCTGGCCCTGATTTAGGCAGAGTCCCACATCGGGGATCTTGTGTCTACACAACCATCAACCCAGGACAAGCCCCCATCTCTACACTCTTGACCTCGCCATTGTCAAATTGAGTATCAGGGAAAAAAGTATAAACAAACAGTAGCCAAAGTAAGTGCATGTAAGTGTGGTAGCAACTGTACTGATACCAACACAACACGCATTCCAGCATTGCTAAGTGTGTCGCACTAGCCCACCTTCAGGCGATGTACCCAACCTGAGGTAGATGCCACCTGGGTAAGCAAACCACACACCCATCTCAACCCTACACCGCCAATCCCAAATCCTGAAGACCAACAACAATGACCAACCTAGACCCAAAAAAAGGCACAAAGGTCTCTACAGCACATAATCTTTCCATTTCATTAACCATTTGGTTCTCCATTATTGGATCAAAATCCCCCGAAACCCTGCGCCCAGGCTGATTGCAAGTCCTAGCGGCAAACCCTCTCTAAGCGCCTGGGCGTCGCCATCTTCCTGCAGACTCCAACTTTGAGTCCCAGGTTCGGAGGACTGAGGGCACGCTGCTTGGTTTCAGGGTTTAGGGTTTATGATTGATTGGGGGTAGTGCTCTTTCTTCTTTCCTTGCCTTACTATTTCTTGACCAGTAGCCAGGTAGAGCTATCGCAATGCCTCAGCCAGCAAGATATGGGGAAGTTAGCGCCACATATACCTCACGATGAGTTTAGGTTGAAGTCCCCAAAAAATGTCCCCCCCTGCCCCGCCCCGACGAAAACCTAAAAAAAAAACAAACTATAAACCCTAGGCCGCAAAGCCATGGACCCTAGACTAAAAGAGCACTGAAACCTACATCAACCCTCAAACATAAAAACCTAACTCGCAAAACCCTATCAACCCTAAATCGTAGTTTCCATTTTCCATTACCCCTATATAACCGCCAATATACTATACAGTAGATTCCATTTTTCCATTCACGACGTATAACCCCAATATACTATACAGTAGTTTCCATTTTCTTTTTCATTACACCTATATGAACCCCAAACCACCTAAACCCCTAAAATCCTAAACCCTAAGCCCCTAAACCCCTTAAACCCTAAACCCTAAACCCCCATAAAACC